AATTTGTGGTGTTCTCTTGCTGTTAACTTGGGAAAAAAAAATCAGGTTCAAGATGAATGACTAACTCATTAGATTTGAGCTTAAGAATCCTTTTAAACTTTGTGGATAGGTAGTTTGCTTGGCTTTTATATCCTGAATTTGTCATTACCTTGGAGAACCACTATAAAGGAAGAAACTGGGGACTCTGTTGTCCTGGACATGTGACGTTCTTTCAAACCATGTCAAAGATGCAGAGTGGAACTGATGTCTTTCAGAATGTTTCAACAGGAGGTTACAAGTATTCTGAAACTGTACCAAACTACTAGACCGCATAAAGTGATTTTTATGCACATTACCACCAACTCCAAGTGCCATAGTGGAGCGATTGATTGGTTATCTGTTTACAGTTTTCTCCTAGTGAACAATTGCTACTATTTCTTCATTCTCCATTGATCTTTCATATTATAAATTTGGTCAATAAGTTTGTCCATTTCAGACAAACAGTTACTGGAAGTGCGAGAATTTGAACTTCTCTTTCGCTATCCTTTGGTATCATCAACTGTCTTAAGACAAAATCTGAAATTGTGCATGCTATATGATACATACGGTTTCAGATATATCGTTTTCTTCTCAGGCCAGTAGTGGTGGCTACATGGTTGCATTTGCTGGTCGAAAATATGCTGCAAGGTCTCTCCCTGCTTTTGTTGCCAACAGCACGTACACTGTGACCAGCTTCACTCTTGTAAGTGAAAGATTTTTATCCTATTTTGGCATCTTTTTCGTAATCACTCTGCTTAAACATCCAGTAAAGCGGCCGATCTGTGGTTGATGCAGGTGCTTGAGTTTCAGAAGGGAAGGCTGCAAAACCTGTACTGGAAGAGAGATGGGTGTTCTTCATGTTCAGGGAACTCAAGCTTTGTCTGCCTTAATAATCAAGATTGTGCACTCAAAACATCCGACTGTAAAAACGGTGGAGGCTCAGTAGATTGCAGCCTTGGGATTCAACTGGCGTTTTCAGGGACAGATAAGCACTTCTCAGTACTCAATTCTTGGTATGAAGTCGAAAAACTACGTCAATACTCGCTCTATGGACTTTATTCAAATCTAAAAGATTCTCTAACGAGTCAGTATAACAAAATAATCTAAATGTGCTTAACTTTCTATAGATTTTCTCGTGCTCGACACGATCTTGTTGTACATTTGTGTTTATAGCTACCTCCGTGCTTCTGTCGGAGTTCTTGTACTGAAATAGTATGATGTTGGAACTAATTCTTTGTTGCCACTTATTTTTTTGTCCTCTTGCTACCGCGAGGACTTGTTGACAACTTATGTATGCTGCTTAATGAGTTGAAGTTGTTTAAACCATGTTTGTAGTGGTATTGGCTATTTTGGGGCATCTCGCTCGTCAACCCTATAATATACGTACAGAAGGGAAATCCATGAAATGCTAACCTTGTGGTAAGGTCAGTGGAAGTCTAAATTATAAGAGTCTAGGGACATCTATGTTCAACACACCGAGCCACCAAAGTTTCATGTTTGGAACTTGTTCTCTGGTTATTGCTTGGATCGTTTGCAGTCTGGCAACCTGCCAAAAATTATGACTACGAGTAAGCTTCTATGTTTAGTCTAGGGAAAGGTTAGACTCTCATGGCTAGTCTAGGGAGTTAGTTAAATGTGAAGAATTTAAGTAAATATCAAAAGCCAAAAAAAAAAAAAAAACAAAAGGAAAGAAGAAAAATGTTTGAACTATGGAAAGGGAGAAAGGAGAAAGCTACTTGAGAGAGTTGCATTTTTTTTTAATTGTTACTCTCTATTTCTCTATTTGATCAGTGGATCAGCCGATATTTGATTAACAAGATTTTGTTAACGAGTGCTTTAAGAAACTTTTTAGTCTCTTTAATCTAGACTATATTGATGGCAAGTTCCTTGGTTTCACAAGTGGCAAGGATTAAGCTTGAAGCTTGCCTTTGAGGGATCCCGTGATATCTTTTGTTTCCTTGAAGTTAATGTCAGCAGAACAGTCTTTTCTTGCTTGCCAGATTGTCAGTAAAAACTTCCTTAGATTTAGATAGTCAAGAAACGAAGTAATGAAGATAATTATTGTACTTACTTTAATGGATGTGTCTGTCTAATTGATTAATGAGTTCACTAAAACGGGTACGGTTGTTTATGCAACTTGATCCTTCTCATCCTGAATCATTTTGTTCGAAATTATTTGATGACCATCACAGCAATAACAAGAGCAACCTTTTGTTTATGTTGTCAAGATCCATATAATCGAGATCTTTTCTAGCTCTTTCCAAATCTTCTATGTTTTTCGGCTCCCCTTTTGACTTCCATCCACATTATAGCTGTGCACATTCTAACAAGCATATGAAGGTTTCACTTCACATGTCTAAACCTCCTCAAGGAGCTTTTTCTCATCTATTCAATAGGCCAAATACCAAAAAAACATCACTTGCTCATTCCAGGGACAAAACATCACTTTTCAAATGTCCCAAAAAAGTAGGGAAAAAGCAACAAAAAACTCTCAAAATATCCCCACTGTGACACATTTACCTTACACTCTTTCTTGTGAACTTGTACCTATGTGACACATTTACCCTCAGTTAAGGTTCCATTAGATTATTTTTCAGCCAAAACAATGTTATTTTTATTTTAGTTAAGCCACGTGGGCACCACGTCAACACCGTTTGCTTTCTGTCGTCCCACATAGGCAGATTTTTAACGATTCTCATTGACAGAACTTTGACGGAGGGTAAATGTGTCACATGGGTACAAGTTTGGGATTTTTTGTGTTATAGGAAAACAGTTTAGGAGAAATGTGTCACGGTGGGCATAGTTTAGGGTTTTTGGTGGCTTCAACCCAAAAAAGAATCACGTGCTTACCCAAGGGACAAATTGTCACTACCATTTCCATCCAAACTATCCTACTCGGCGGATGCGTGGCTAAGGGTGCTCAAGTAGTGCGCTGAAATGGCCCTTTTATTGTAAAATTAAAATGATGTTGGCCAATAAAAGTAAACCTAAGTCTTATAAAATAATAGATGAGATTGAAAAAAGGAATTGTCTTCCTCATATAATTATGCAGCCTTTGAAGAGTTGTCTGTGTGCACCATAGCCATTCAAGATCGTTGCTTGAAGAGTTGGTCATGTGTGAAACATTGTTGTGACCGTTGCTGACCTCAGATGTGAGGCCAGCGCTAGTCTCCGCCTCTAGATTGAGGTTGGGCGGCTTTAGTTCTGGATTAGATCTGGTCCCATGGCCACGGCCATGGGAGCCTGTGAGCTCTCTATGCAGAACTTGCATGGATGCGAGCTCTGTTCCAGAGAGATTGTGAGGTCAGCGCGAGCTCATGTCAAGCTCACATGGCGTAGGCCTCCGAAGTCAAAAGAGGGCATCAAAAGTGCCACAGCAGTAGTTGCGGCCAACATCGGCCTTAACGGTGGCATCGGCCAATCGCCAGCCATACCCCCTTCCCTTTTCTCCCCTTCTGTCTGTGTCCTCTTTCTTTCATCTTTGATAAAAATTACTTTGTTTTGACTAGAATTGTCTATTTTGCCTTTTCAATCCACGTGGAAAAGCTGCTCTTCACGTCATTCTCCTCTTTACTGTGTACATGTAATCATCATTAGCCATGTCATCCGCCGCATAGGATAGTTTGGATGGAAATGATAACGGTGGCTATTTTTGTCCTCGACTAAGAACACATAATTTTTGTTTTTGGATATTTGAAAAGTAAGGCCATTTTTGTTCCTGGATATAAGTACGTGATTTTTTGTTTTGGATTTGCCAATTCCCAATAGCATGTACACCAAATTTTCATTTAATATACTCATTTATAACTGTCTCTTTTCTTGACTGGCAGTAAGTCAAGCCAATCATCTATTCATTTTTGTTTATTTTTTGGTGGTTGACCGCATTACTCTGCCATAGTTCATCAACTTCTTGCTGTGGTGGTGTTGTCGTTTGAGAATTTAGAAGTAGGAAAAGAAAATGGCTTAGTGATTTGTTATGATTCTCTCTTTTGAGTTGTTAAGTTGCACATCTAAGATAGGGATTGGTGATCTATCAGTCAACACCTTGGATGGACAGTGTAGATTTTGCTATTGCAGTTACGTGCGTGATGTACATGCATTTTGCTAAACCTTTAGGCAATTTTCTTGAAGAATTTTTTTCTAATTCGTTCGATCCTTGTAGTGACACTCGTGCTTGTGGAAACTGACATTATTAGAGGTAAATGCGATTCTCTTGTTGAAGCCCCTATCGAATAGGGTTGCAAAACAAAGCCCTTCTTTGGTTGTTTCTAAGGAAGCTTAGCTGAGCGCTGCATTATCCTGAATGTGCCTCCAGAAGTGGTATTCTATCTTTTTAGGAACATTAAAGCATATTTTTATATACATACTTTATATTGGAATGGTTAGATCGACGTCCATGACAAGTCATATCATGGAGATGTTTTGGCTAAGCAATTGGAATATCAATAAAAGAAGCTGAGAAGTGAGTGGATTTATATATATTGTGGAAAGCATAGAGTTCACGGAACGATCGCCTTTGAGTTCCGAACTCCATATGGGGAAGGAGCATTGTTGTTTGCAAGGTCTTGATCACTTACATGGGCCCGGTTCTCATTCCATTTGTGGGAATTTGATGATCTATAAACCGTCTCTAAGAAACGATCAGCTCATGTTTGAGCATGAGCTCCAGGATTAGACGAGAGAGATAGACATATGAGATTAGCTGCCATTGGGGATGGGACCAGCAGGAGATAGCTTTGATCGAGGAGTTGGGCTTTTCTTCGCGGATGAATCGATTATTTAGTGAAACGAGTATAATTATATACTCTTGAGGCAAAAATCATGACTAACGGAAGAGTCCTTAGCCATGATATGGAATTTAATCCTTTTCAGTGTAAATGGTAATAATCCTTTGATAGATATGTTTGCTGGTCGAATGTTTTGTAGATAACTTATAAGAAGAACGCAAACTCTGTTTAAGATTGTCTTCTGTCAGTCTCAAGTCATCATAAAAGGAAATTTATTCGATTAAGAACATCGCGTCGTCAACAACGGACATGATAATAACTGATATAAACATAACCATGCAAGAGAGCATATAGGTCGTTGCAATTCCTCCCAAAGTTATTGGGAGTCGACATTGTACAACGAGGATACGACGAGGATACGGGTATTGTGGTGCTGTTGTTTAGTTCTCGGTGCTGCTGTGGCCTGCAATGAACCCTTGATCCGGTACTTGAGGCTGGTTGTCACCTTCTGTTTGGGCAAGCCCTTCGACATAGGCGATCCTTTTGTTCAGCTCTGATTTTTTTTCCTCCAAGTAGGAGAGTAAATCGCAGAGCTCATCTCTTGTAAAGTTCTCGAAGCTCTTACCTTGCTGATGGAATTGGCGCAACAAGAGGTCCATTTGCATGTTTTTGTTTTCGCGCTTATACTTGTTGAGCAGTTCTTGGTACATGGCTATCTTTTCCCGGAGGTAAGCCTCTTGGGTCGTCATTTCTTTGGACCTCTCCGCATCTGGGAAGCTTTGGAAACTCATCAGCAATTGTGCAGTCTCCGGGCGAGATGGCCATATCACGGGTTCGTTATCGGCCCGACCATAAATGATAGCGAACTCACTCACACTGCACACAATATCGAGCTTTAACTTCTTCCTCATCATCGTTAATTCTTAATGTGGACTCTCTTGCCTCCATACGTGTAAACGTCGGCGTATTTATAGCATACTCGAAGAGGGTGATTCCATATCCTGGAATTGCTGAATCAAGGCAATTGAGAATCAAATGAGGAAGTGCGGTGCCATAGATGGTGAAAATTCTGGATTATGGAAATAGATTTGCAATTCATCATGCCAAAGGTTACATGGTAGTGAATGAGCAGATTCTGTTTTCTATTTTGGGGTCTCTTATCCAGCATAGAAAATCATGGTCGGTGAATGAAAGGCTTTGGATACACATGCATCATTGACCGAGTTTGGAAATCTTTAAAAGTAGAAGGGAGCGGAAGAGGAATATACTCGTACATGACAGTTGGAAGGAACATGGATAGGATGAAATTAAATAGCTCATGATCAGATAGAAATCCAAGAACTTTCTATGTATGCAATGTCCATTTTTACTAGTGAACAACTAAGCATATCGATCAACCGACCTATGCGCGTAAAAATAGAGTCTTCGAATTTCGCATAGTCGGTTTGGAAAAATAAAAAGAAAAAAAAAGGAAAGAAAGAATTGTGCAAAGTCGTTATTTTCATTACGGTTTCACGAAGAACCCGCTCTCGTCTTGTGATTTCACTTAACTATTGTGCTTAGAAACTTATTAGTTTTGGTTAATGCTAGATCATGAAGAACTAAAATGAGATAGACTTGACTGGATTGCTTTTTGTGGAAATAAACTTCGAGAGTTGTAAAGTAGTACGTGTAAGTCATATCGAAAATGAATAGTAATGAACTTTCCATGGAAGAGCTTTCCGGTGTTGATTTTTTGACGCGGGTTTCAGAGTATCATCCAAATTTAGGGAAAATTCTGATTAAGGGCCCCAAGTAGGGCTCTTTTCTCAAAAGAGGATCCCGAGTGAACATAGTATCAAATAAAGGCCCGAAGTACCCAATTAGTCTCAAGTAAGGACCTGGGTTCGCCGGCCGGTCAAATGCTCGCCGGCCGGCGAGCACGGTTACTGTTCCGGCGACCGGAAAAGGGCAGTTTCGTCTTTTTCTTTCTTTTTTTTTTTTTTTTGCTTTTTTCTGTTTTTTTTTTCCTTTCCTTTTCCTTTTCTGTTTTTTTTCTTCTCTTCCCCAATGGCCGGCGACCTGCGCCGGCCATAGCCGGGGCCGGCGACTTGCGCCGGCCATAGCCGGGGCCGGCGGAGGTCGCCGACCTCAGGCGGAGCCCGCCCTCGCTGGTGTTTGGCGAGGGCGGCCCTCGTCTGGGTTGGGCGGGCAAGGGTGGCCCTCGACTGGGCTGGGTGGGCGAGGCCACCCTCGCCGCGTCGGGCGAGGGTGACCCTCGCCCTTACCGGATCTAGCGAGGGTGGCCCTCGCCCTCGTCGGCGTCGGGCGGCCCTCGACTGGGCTGAGCAGGCGAGGGCGACCCTCGCCAGATTCAGCAAGGGCGAGGGTCGCCTTCGCCCTCGCCCGCCAGATCCGGGCGAGGGTTGCTCCTTGCCCGACGCCGGCGAGGCGGCTCTCGACCGGGTCGGGCGAGGGCGGCCCTCGGCCGGGCCAGGCGGGCAGGGCCACCTCGCCCGACGCCGGCGAGGTCTCCTCGCTCGCCTGCCCGGCGAGGTCTCCTCGCCCGCCCGGCCCGGTCGAGGCCGCCTCGCCGGCGTCGGGCGAGGGCGACCCTTGCCCTTGCCGGATCCGCGAGGGCCGCCCTCGCTTGCTCACCCTGGGCGAGGCGGCCTCACCCGACGCCGGCGACCTCCGCCGGCCCGGCTATGGCCGGCGGAGGTCGCCGGCCATTGGGGAAGAGAAGAAAAAAATAGAAAAGGAAAATTAAAGGAAAAAAAAGAAAAAGACGAAACTGCCCTTTTTCGGTCGTCGGAACAGTAACCGTTCTCGCCGGCCAGAGAACATTTGACCGGCCGGCGAATCCAGGCCCTTACTTGAGACTAATTGGGCACTTCGGGCCCCTATTTGAGACTGATTGGGCACTTCAGGCCCTTATTTGACACTATGTTCACTTGGGGTCCTCTTTTGAGAAAAATGCCCCACTTGGGGTCCTTAATCAGAATTTTCCCTCCAAATTTATGATTTCATTTTCTGTTTGTAAATTTTTACATTTATTTGAATATTTTGGATGACGCCATTTCCTTTTAAATTGTTGTTTGATTAGATTTTAGGTTATTATTTTTATTAATTAGTAGATATTATTTACCTTTTAGGAGGATTCTTTTTAGAAAAAAATAGGACGTTTATGGTATTTATCAGAACATTTTATTCTTTTCGAAATAATATCAAGAGTTTATCGTTGTATCTTTTGTGTGTTTGGTCGCACGTCATATGTGTTTGCGAGTTGTGACTCCTATTGTTTCTTATTTTCGCTGTGTGTTGATACATAAATTTTTGCGTCTCATTAGAATTTAATTGCATAGAAAATTAAGAATTAATTTTTAACCCGTAAACAAAAATATTAAAGTTAAATTGCATAGCATATGGTTTAGAAGCATATATATTAATTGCATTTTTTGCATCGAACCGACGATGACAAATAAACTCAAACTATTTTAGATTTGGCATGCACATCAAGCAAAATTTAATCAGGCTAGAGGGCATTATGGCCGAAAATATCAAGGTAAGACAGGCCTAGTTGAGCTTAATTTGCTTATAATTCAACCAATTGAAGTTTAATTAGAAGTTAGCCTTACGTTATAGAGCCCATCACATTGGAAAATGTTTAATTTTAGCCCGCAATACTGAGATAAACCTAGGTTAATGCTATATATAAATAGTTATGCCTCTTGATTAGAGGGACAGAGAGTGACTCACGTGAGGTGTTGAGAGAAAAGAGAGAGCCCGACCGAGTCCTTCACGGCCAAGCCCCCTCCACGGCCAAGCTTCCTTTGCACGAGAACGCCGCCACCTCCTCACCAATCTAGTCACTGCTGCTGATGCCCTGCCGAACTGTCCAAGACGTCGATCAGCTGCTCCCTAGTTCACCCTACTGTTGTCGCGGCTTGACTTGCTCTCGCGACGAGCTATCGTTCTTCTGCCCGACATCGCCATCCCGCTGCTACTTGACAAGCTGATGCTGGTGACCCGACGAGGCGCTGCTATCATTGCCCTGATCCCGATGACCTACTGCTCCGCTGCTGAGATCTGTTGCTCCTTCGTTACGTGCCATTGCACCACAAGCCGCGAGCCCTCCCCCCCAACGTTGCAACACCTAGCTACAGCCTAGCTGTGCCGCCGCCGTCGACACTGCTGTCTTGTTCCATCCCGAACAGCACCTATCATGCTTTGTTTAACAGGTTTCCCGTGAGGCCGCCGCCGTCCTCACTGTCGTGCTTCCCCACCGTGAAGTAGCCATCCTTTCCGCGAGCCTCGCTATGGCTAGCTTGGTTGAGCCCGCCAAGAACTCGCCGTCGCCACCGTCGTGAACCCCGTTGGCCAATCCCATGATCCGCAATCCCTGTCCATCGTCGAGTTTGAATTTGGAAATTATCCACAAATTAGGTAAGAATTTTATTCATTTTTTATTCGAATATTTTATTGTCTGATTTGTTTGATATTGTTGTATTTTATGAGTTTTTTGCTATGGGTGAATGCATGATATCCACAAAATTTTAAAAGTCACCCCATTTTCCTAACTTAACTATGAGATATGATGCTCGGCAGCACGAGAAATCTTCTATTCTATTCATAACTATTTGGATACGATGGTTGATTTTATCTTATTTCCAATTTCAAACGAGAAACATTCCATCAATATCCATAACCAGTTGGATATGATCGCCGATTTATTTTGTTTTTAAATTTAAGAAAATAAGGCAAATCTTGCGAATTGTGAGAATTGATTTGATGGTGGTGTTTATCTCTTGTTTGATTTTTTTCTCTAAAAGAAAATCTAAGAAAAATTAGGTAGAATTTGAATTGATTTTTTTGGGAAAACGTTGCATGTTAGAGTATATCTTGATAACTTTCTTTCAAAAGAATAGAATAATTTAGATTTGCTAGAAAGATAAGATAATTTCAAATTTAAATTAAGATTTAGAGTAATTTTTTTCGTAGCTTAATTTAAATATTATCCTAATCTTGATAGCTTATTTATGGTCATTTTTATTTCCGATTTTTCATAAAAAAAATACCAAAAAGAAATCAGGAAGTTAAATTCCTTTCTGGGATAGATTGCATGTTTAATTCAGGCTATTAATTTATTCCCAATTTTAATTAAAAAATACCAAAAACATTACTCTAGAATAGGTTAATTTGCTTTCTTAGTTTAAAACCGCATGTTTAGATAATAGGCATTTTTAATTACGAATTTTAATGAAAAATACAAAAAAAAAATACATCATATGTCCATCATTAGAATTAGGTTATTTAATCGCATGTCATATAGTTCGCATGTTAGGCTTGTTTAACGGCAAGTCACACTTTGTACCTAATTGCATATAGGTTAGTTTTCAAATAATCAAGAGAAAACCCCCAAAACAAAATACATTGAGTGGGACCGCGTGTTTATTAGAAATTATATTGGGGTTGATGATGTGATTTTTTAACTAACATTGCAAATGCTTACGTTGCTTGGACAATTTTTTAGCCATCCAATATGTCTATGCTAATGTGGCATCATCTTAACTTACCACATTGGATGCCAATATGGAAAGCCAATGGCTATTTAGCGACGTTAGTGTCCACATGACATTTTCCATCCGCGATCTTAAGGGAGGCCTTGCATTGACATGCATTTGAAAAGTTGACATACTTGATTACACAAAAAACCGGATTATAATACAAACCGAAACTCGTATATTAGGGTGTTAGTAACAACAAAATGAACGGGAAAGGCTTCCTAATGTTCGACAAACTGCAGCAGCTTTCAATTGGATAGTGCAAATGGAGAAATGCCATGAAAGCTCTATTGAGTCCCATAAGCATTTGCGCGAAAAAGGACTTGCAAGTTTTTATGAACATTAAAGCATACCCTATACACATACTTTACATTAGAATGGTTAGAGCGACGTCCATGACTAGATCACATCATGGAGATGTTTTGGCTAAGCAATTGGAATATCAAGAAAAGAAGCTGAGAAGTGAGTGGAATTATATATATTGAGGAAGGATAGAGTTCACTGAACGATTGCCTTTAGGTTCCGAACTCCAAATGGGGAAGGAGCATTGTTGTTTGCGAGGTCTTGATCATTTACATGGGCCTATTTCTCATTCCATTTGTTGGTATTTGATGATCTACAAACCGTCTTTAAGAAACGATCGGCTCATGTTTGAACATGAGCGCCAAGATCAGACAAGAGAGATAGGGATATGAGATTAGCTGCCATTGGGGATGGGACCAGCAGGAGATAGCTTTGATCGAGGAGTTGGGCTTTTCTTCGCTGATGAATCGATTATTTAGTGAAGCGAGTATAATTATGTACTCGAGGCAAAAATCATGACTAAAGGAAGAGTCCTTAGCCATGTTATGGAATTTCTATCCTTTTTTGTGTAAATGGTAATAATCCTTTGATAGATATGTTTGCTGGTCGAATGTTTTGTGGATAA